AAATGGCAACGGACTGGCGCTAGTGACTAAAAACTCTTAAAACGATTTCACCTTCTTGAAGGTGAAGTACTTCTTAAAATGAGCTTGTTTTTTAAACTTTAACAATAACTCATAAGTAAAGCTTTAAGGTAATTAAATAACACACATTCACTTTAAATCATAGCTCAAACAAAGCACATATAATCAAGCACAATCATAATCAAGCAACGGTAACCACTTTGCTAAAATACTTAAAATCGTAATACTTAAAAGAATACGTAAGGCGTAGAATTGACCCCCCTTTACACTCACCTTATGTTAAGGCTGATTGAGATCGATTTCCCCCCACCTCTTCGTTACAGGCTTGCCTGCCCATGCCACAATTCATATGAAAAGATTATTAATCTTTTCCATAACTTGTATCCACCTCAAGGTTCCCAACTCATTCCTCTCCATCGTCGCAATCGTGGGGAGCATTATGAGAACAAAAAGATTTGATGGCGGTTGTGGTGCTCCTTCCCCCCAGCTAACGGATGGTGATGATGCGGACGACGACCATTAAGTGATGGCGGACTAGATGGTGCATCCCACTGCACCGCCATCTCCAGTTCCCAATTAAATGTCGCCTCCCCTTGTCCATTGCGTGATCAAAGACCCCTACAGCTCCCTCTGCATTTCACCCACACTTGTTCGCTTGCAAGAGGGGGAAAAGAGGCTTCCGGCCGTACCGCTTTTCTTTTGCCGAGTCCAGACTAGATTAGGTTTAGCTTTTGAATTTAAATGGGTGCAGCCGAGTGGGCGGTGAGGGTTTTAGTTAGTCCAAGGTTATTTGTGGAAATTCACACTTATGGGTGAGTTTAATCCGAAAATAAATTAACGTCCATAACTTCCTCAAAATTCGACACCGCTTGAATGGATAGTTCACATTTTTAGTCCTCCTCGACATTACGGTGGAATTTGAAAATTTTGGACCAAGGTCATAATGGTCATTTCGGCTTAGAAAAAGATGGGGTGTAACATTTCTCCCGTCGTTGGAAAAATTTCGTCCCCGAAATTGGATTATAGGATAGATACTGAGAAACACCCACTTATTCTGAGACAAATTGTATTCAATCGAACTATCTCGGTTGGGATGCAACATTTATCCAACTCATTCGGTACTTGTTGTTGAACCTAAATAGAAGTTAATGTATTACATTTCCTCCCCACATACTGAAATTTCGCCCTCAAAATTTGTCCACTATGATTACTCCAAGCCTTTCTTGTGGTAATCATTTTTACTTCAAGGATTTGGATTTTCTTTAACTTGTAAGACATGACCTATAAATGCTTCCCTCCATTCATTGGCAACCTCCAATGTTTTGGTGGTTTCTAACCCCTCACATCACCAATGCACCTTGGACGTATGTCGAAAAAATAAGTATCTACATTATTTGGTATATGAGACGTTAATGCTTCTCTTGAGCCCCAAGGTTACATATGGCGGCTTATCTTCTATCCAGTCAGATGGTACAACTCCTTTAACGTAACTCTCGTTTGGAGTTGACCTCATATGTCATCTAGGTCCTTGTATCTCCAAACTTTGCATCTCTTACTTTCTTCCTCAATGCCTCGTCTTATCCCTTAACTATAAGCTTAATGGTCACCTCCTCATTACTTGCTGCTTAGTGTTGGAATCTCATACTACTGCTTCTAAATTCAGTATGCATTAGAGGCATCCTTTGCGTCTTTCTCTAGCTTGCGATCAACATTATGACTCCTTTTCAGAATCATGACCTTCCATTTTGCGTACTTGTTCACTCCTGGAGCCTAACTTAACACTTCCTTATCACCGTTTGACTTGGGAGTTCTCGTACTATTTCTTCTATCGTTCTTAGATCTTGGCTGAAATTCCTCATACAGTTTCCCCGTCCAAGAAATTTACACCCGAGAGATCGCCACCTTTCATCCTCATGCGGTCTTGGTTTCACTTTGGGGTATCCTAGCAGGTTCCCTAAACTCATATCCATCTTACTTCTTTACTCATGACCCTTCCTCCTGATGTTCCTTGCTAGTTCTAGGTGTCCCTCGTCCTCGATGTAGTAATCTGGTTGCCCATATTCTCTTCTCACTTAAGTACCTTGACTGATAAGGTTCTCACTTCGACCATTCTTGACAACCATGATTCCATCTTAAAATTGATCAAAATTTCGCGTTGGACTTCCCAGGGATCAATTGTTATCTACTGGTAGTCAACCTAATGCTTCTTTGTTGTTTGTTGCATTCCTACTTTGGCCTGTCTTAGCTATCTTCCTTGACGCATACATCGCCCGGTCGATACCACCATTTTCTTCCTATAATGTCCTATGGTGTCCTCCTTGCTTCTTTACTTTTACTATCCTTCTGTTGTTGCTTTGTACTATATTTGGTCACCAACCTCTGTTGAGTATCTTCTCGTTTTTTTTTTTTTTGGTCCAAGCTTCCAATAGAGGATTTCCCATGGTAGGATTTAACATACCTCATTCACGTCATTTGTCCCGATTGATGCCTATATATGGCCTTAATCTCTTAGTTTGGGTTCTTAGTGGCTTAACTGAACGTATTCTTACTTATCCTTAACGAACTGCTTCCTCTGGATGACATCTAACTATGCCGCTCCCACCCAGAGTGGGGCACCTTGGATAAGGTAACTTAATGATTTCCTCCTTCCTGGTAATGCTTTTCCTCGTCGTACTCCACTATGCCGTTTCGTGAACCCGAGTCACCTACACATATTCTCAATCCTTTATCGGAACTTCCATGTGCTTCCTCGAACTCTCTGACATTCACTAGAACATTTATTAAACGTGCCACTTACTTATCTATACTCGGTTGGCTTAATGACTTACTCCTATAGCTAGTTTCGAGACTTAAGCTCTTAGCCCCTATATACTACTTACTATGGAGGTTCCTGCTTTTGTCACCCCTCACAAACCCTAGGTGGCTAGGGGCTCCCTCCATTTAGGATAGGACAACCACATACTAGATCATCACGAACTCTTGCATTCCCCTTTCGACGGTCCCAACGACATATTGACCTTTCATGATCTGGGTAGTTGTAGTGTCTCTAATATCCTATTTCTAGCTTGGTGTTAACTTAGTATTCAACTCACGCATTGAGGAGGTGTAGTTCTCTATTCGTACTCACTAACAATTATTCTCTCTCACATTCCATGTCTTTTCTTACGCATTGGCTCACCACTGTCTTCTACCAAGCATGCTTCAGACTTTAGTGGCACTTTCCTCCATGTCTCGTATAATGGTGGTCGTACTGAGACCCTAACTTGTCCTCTACATCATTTATCTCCTTGCTTGTCTTGTTCCTTCTAAAGGCTTGTAATTGGCCTAGTTCCTCCAAGTTTATGGACCATCTTGTTTTATGACATAGTATCTATAAAGGGCTTCCTTTGTCGATTTTGTAACTGGCCCTTCTTCCTCCAAGCCTTGATCTGTTGACTCCTCGAATTCTGATGAAACTTCTTACGGCCTACTTGTTTCCTCCTTCGCTTCTTTTAAGCGACCATAACGCTACTTAAAGTCTAAACTCCCTGTTTCTCCTTGTCACTGCATCGTAATAGCATCATCCACTAACACCAATTGAGTGGTTCTTTGAGGTATCACTTCGTTTCTTGCCTCATTTCCTCCAAGCCTCTCTTAGGGTCAAGAATCCAGAAATCCTAATTGTTGCTAATGACGCTCTATACTTCTCTTTGTAAGGTATTAACCTCCTAGAACCTAGCTTTGGGACCATGTTGCCCACGTAGGTGAGCTAAGACCTCGTACCTTCCAAAATTTGCCTAAAATTTGCACCTTTAGAGTTCCTGGCTTCTCCTTTAATAACAAATAGGTTATTCTACACCTCCACCACATATACCAAGGTTAACGTCCTTGAAATCTTATTGAACTTCTTCAAGCCTCCCCGTTCTCATTCAACTCGTACTCGACACCTCTTTGCTGGTGTTTAGACTTCAATTCCTCACACATTTGGTGTTATCACCCTCTAATACCAACGTCCAGCTAGCACGATGTTGGCAACCCAATTCTGGGTTTGAATTTTCCATTCCTTTCTTTAATTTTCTAGTTCTTTGAGTTTTCATTCCTTTCTTTAATTTTATAGGGAGGCAAACCAAACATCGACCAAAGAACTCGCCAAGTGGAACCACGATCACCGTACATCATGCCACTACATTCCACGACAAGGAAAATGGTAATAATTCGAATCCTTACTCCCTATATTTTGTCCATTGATGGCAATTGACATGATCCCAAATTGCTTGCATTACAAGCTCCATGGAGTGACCAAGAAGCTAGTTCAATGAGGAAGAAAGAATCTGATTTTTGGCTAAGTTTTTAACTATTTCAGGTAGCCTACTTTGGAGGCTTGGTTCTCGCAATTGGCTTAATGGAAATTCAATTTTAAGAGCATATATTAAAGATGGTAATAGAAACATGCATTTCTATAGTTTGATTATTCGGATTATCTTTGTCGGTTTATTATTTTATGACTTGTCGGGAATTATTGGGGGTGATTTGGGGGTACTTTATAAGTCGAGTAGCAGTAGGGAATTATCCATTTCTATATAAATATACTTGTACGTGGGATTACACCACTAAGCAAGATTAAACCCTAAAGAACTCTCTAATCCCTCCTTCCTTCCCCCTCCCGGCCGAACCTCACCTCCCTTCCCCTCACTGCTGCCTCAGATGCTTCTCCTTCCTCTCACGTCCCACCCCATTTTTCCTCAAGAAGAGCTAATCACCACCTTAGTGATTCGCCTCTTTGCTCCAAATCCCTAGAAACCGATATAGCCTAATTCTAGGTTTCCATCATCTGGTATCAGACCCGTTCCGATCCAATCAAATCATCAAGGAACATCGAACACGTAATGTCGGTAACAAAGTCATAGAAGGCTGTGGAGAAGGCCGCGGATGAGGCGGCCCAGGAAAAGGTAGCAGCGACCACCGCGGCGACAAGGAAGAATGGCGGCGACGAGGCCGGGCTGATGGCGACCGCTATGACAACGTCAAGGAACTCACCGAACCCGGTGACTCGAGTACTGGAAACGGTCAGGGCGGTGGACGAGACCGGGCTGGAAGAACTCCAAGTTGCGGTGGACGAACTCCAGGGTGGTGTGAAGAGATTGATGGCAGATCGAGAGCTGGCGGAGAAGAGACGTCAAGAAGAGATGGATGAAATTCGACGAGCTCTAAGCAAACTGGCACGAGATGTGGAGGTGAGACAAGGAAAACAGCCGAGAGTCGAGACCACCATGGGCCTCGAGCCCGAGGTTGGGGAAGGGCCAACATCAGCGGCAGCGGTGAGCCGCGAATGCGGCATCGGCGACAATGACTACTGCGGGAACATACGGGTCGACGGCTTTGACAATCGGCTAAGTTAGGAGACACGGCCTGCGGGCCCAGTTTGCTTTAGGCCCAACGGCGATGCGGGCCTGCTTCTGACACCTACGGCCCAATAGATGGCGGCACCGCGTGGCAAGGTCAAAATGTCGGGCTATGATAATGTAGGACTCGAATGGGGTCAGGGTCGCTGAGCCCAATGACCCATGAGGAAGAGGGAGGTCGGGCCTTGGTACCCAACGGGCTAGGGTGGTTGGGCCGGAACAAGCCCAAGAGGAGGATGAGCTGAGTCTAGTAGGTCGGCCAGAAAGGTGGGCCGAGACCAACAGGAGGTCAGCCGAGTTGAACCAGATGTGGGCGGTAGACCATGACGAGTTCGGGTAGAACAAAACCAATCGAACCGGTTGGACCAAACCCGGTCCCACTGGTTGGACTCACTCGGGTCGAACCGGTAATGAACCACACGAGGGCGACCAACAGTGAGGCGGGCCGAACCATGGGGTCCCTACGGGAGGGCGCGGATCGGGTAGTGAGGCAGGAGGCTTCCAACCACCTCGCATGGGTCTAGACACACCAGAATGAGTGAACCAGGATTTTAGGAGCTGGTATGTCGGGCAGCCTCAAGGCTAGGAGGGAGCGGATTACTCGAACAGAAGCCCGAGAATCCCGCGCAGTGGAAGGTATGCTGAGCATGACCGCTTTAATGAGATGGATGATGACTTAGTTTTCAGAGCTAAGCCTCCAGCCATTGAGTTTCCAAAATTCAATGGGCAAGAGGATGCATGGTTGTGGTTGTATGCAGCTGATAGGTGGTTTAAGAACCACCCTAATCGAGAGGAGAGGAAGGCGCATCTGGCGTCCTTCTTCCTGGAGGACGACGCTCTGCACTGGTGGGAATGGCTGGAAAGGTCTTATGCTGCTACGAGAACTCTAATCATGTGGCCGTTGTTCCAGGAGGAACTCCACTATCAATTCGGCAAATCAGAGGGATGGGCCCCTGAGCAATTAGCTAATTTAAGGCAGACCGGAACGGTGGTGGAGTATCGGTCAGAATTTCTCAAGCTGGGGAATTAGTGAAAAGGGGTGTCGAAACAAACATTGTTGGGATTATGCCTGCTGGCCTGAAGCCAGAGATCGTGGCAACAGTCCGGGTGTTTGAACCCGACTCGGTAAGAACTGCTTTCCGTTATGCAGGTCATAAATAGGAAGAACTCGCCAGCTGGAGAAGCGTCATCGGCGGCTACCAGAGACCGAGTGGAGGAGGTTGTAGCAGTTCCGCAGGCGGCGGGGGAGGAAGCGCGGCCGCCGAGGCGAGCGCCGGAGCTGCAGGAGGGAACCCACCTCTACTAGCGACGACATGACCAAGACCTGGTCACCGCGCCCCACCGAAAGGCTTCGTTAGGTTGTCACCCGCCGAGATTGAGCAGAAGTGACGGGAGGCAAGTGCTTCAACTGTAATGAGAGGTTCACCGCCGGTCACTAGTGCGCGAGGCCAGATTTAATGATGCTTGTGAGACCCTGGGAAGATGATGCAGAAGAGGAGGCGACTGATTCCATGGGAGAGAAGCAGTGAGCTCGAGTCAACCTTGGGGGCAAGGTTGTTTCCAAGGAGGCGGGGATGATAGAAACTCGTATTTTCTATAGTTTGCTTATTTGGATTATCTTTGTCGGTTTGTTATTTTATGACTTATCGGGAATTATTGGGGGGTGATTTGGGCGTACTTAATAAGTCAGGTAGCAGTAGGGAATTAAACCCTAAAGAACTCTCTAATCCCTCCTTCCTTCCCCCTCTTGGCCGAACCTCACCTCCCTTCCCCTCACTGTTGCCTCGGCAGCTTCTCCTTCCTCTCCCCTCTCCAATTCTAAATCTCCCCTCCCACTCCATTTTTCCTCAAGAAGAGCTAATCACCACCTTGGTGATTCGCCTCTTTGCTCCAAATCCCTAAAAACCGATAGAACCTAATTCAAGGTTTCTATCAGATGGTGTGTCCCTCTACGTATTGGTATGTTTGAAAGCTCAAGGGGATGTCCAGAAGATCATTTTCCAAGCTCACCAAAATCCTTTGTCAACGCGGGAAAACTGCCAGGATTTGGCCAAGGTAGGAACAATGATTGTGAAGTTGTGTTGGGAGCTTCATTCGATCCAGGTGAAGAAGAGTCGAGGCCAGAGGAAGACACCACATGAGAGTACGTGTTTCATACTTCAACCCAGAGGAATTAGCTAAGGAATTGGGAATCATTTCGAGCATCAACTAGTCATCCCAAAAAAGCTATCAAGACTGGCAGAAATCCGAATCCCGTAAGGATTCCGAGTCCCATTTGGATTCAACGTGTAATTTAGTTTCCTTGTTGAATTAGGTTAATTTCAATTTAGTCCCATTTGGATTATATCTAAGCATCCCTATAGCGATCGTGTAATCTCTCAGGTGTGAGATTCCCCTTTCGTTTCCATCTAATTGAAGCTTGAACTTGCTTACATAAGCTAGCTCTCGAGCTTTGTTTTGTGCTTAAGCAATCCATTGGTTTGCTTGAGTTGCTGCGCGACTTTGAAACTCAATTGAGACCCGATCTTGGGCTCATCAAGTGGTGTCAGAGCCTTAGACAGGGTAAGAAAGACCAGTTCAATGGAGGGAGGCGATGTCAGAGAGACACACTGGAGGAGCCCCCTTTGTTGCTGTCGAAAAGGAAGAAAAATAAGAAGCAGACCACAATTGTCATCCAATTGACTGAGATCGATGCCTAGACTGCTAGAGCCGGTGAAGAAGCTATGATGGATGAATCACAATCACAACCTATAACGATGTCAGAGTTGCAGCAATTCTTATAGGAATAGGTCGTTGCTCTATATCAGACACAGCTGACCATACAAGATGAGAAGTTCCAGGATCTTCTGCCTAAGTTCGACAACTTGAATCAACGAGTTGAGACGATGAGCTAGCAGGGAGGACCAGCTACTGTGACCTCCACTAGGTCCAAGTTCAACAGGAAGATAGACGTCCACCTTTGGCAATTCCTCGTCAGTTTGAGGAATGTCCGATTGGGAACTTAAAACCCAAACCTTTTCTAGTTGGAGGAATTCAGGAACTTGAGAGCCAATTGATGGATTTCGAAGTTCAGCCAATCGATGATTAAAAAATTAACACCAGGCCGATTTCTCTCGTACTGAACACGACATATAAGAACTACCGGTGTCGGAATTACGAGGAATTAACATTTCAATTCCAACCTTTCATGGAAAAAACAATGCGTCGGTTTACCAGGATTAGGAGAGGAAGATCCTCTTGTTCTTTCAATGTGGACATTATTCCAAAACCCAAAAGGTGTGTTTAGCCACCTATGAGTTTCATGACTACGCACATTGTTGGGAGCAACTGCAATTCTGACGACGGAGTAATCTGCAGGCTCAGGTAACAACCTGGGAGGAGTTGAGGGGATTGATGCGTGAGAAGTTTGTGCCGGCGCATTACTGGCGCTAATTACACAAATCTCTACAGGAAATTTGTAACACCCTGGTATTTTAGATTTAGGTTCGACCTTAATACGTGATCGGTTGGATTGACGGTTACGTACTAAGAGTTACAACCGCGGATTAAGAATAATAATATTATAACATTATTATTATTATATTATTATTATTTCATTATTAATAACAAATGGGGCGGCCCAAGGAGGTCGGCACCTCCACGCCTCCACTCCCCCCAAATAATAAATTCCCCCCCCCCCCAATATTAATTGCCGAGCCGCAAAACCCAGGAGGTGAAAAAAATAAAAACCTCCTCGGGTAATTCTACAAGAAGAAGTCGTCGCCTCCCTGTGCCTCGACCCTGATCCCGACCCCGACCCCATCCCTTTCGTTCTAGCGGTGACGTTGAGGGTTCGATCAACGAGGAGATCAACGTCCCGGGCCATCCAACCTAGTCCTAGGCATGTTCTAGAGGTAAGGGAACTTGATCCCTTTGAGTTAGATCGATCGATTTGGTGATTTTTTTATGAGGATGCAATTCTGGGTTTTTAGCAACAAGCGTTACAGACTTTTAGTGACAGATTTTGGGTGGTCACTAAAGCTGCTGGAAATTTCCAGAAACGTATTTTTGGATGGTTTTAATTGTTTCGAGCTTCTGTGGGTGTTTGTTACTGAGTTTAATAATTTTATAAATTGAGGGAGGTCTAGGAGATAACTTTAATTTAATTTGACGAATTTTCCATCTAACCTGAACCTTCTTATAATTTTGGACAATAATTTTTCAATGTCAATCATGAGCACCTATACCTTGGAAAATTATCAAACCCTTAAAAACCCATCGGAAAGATTTTTATTTAACCTTGAATCTCTAGTACATAAACTCATAATCATGAACAAAATACTCAAACTAAATCTAGCTCTAACTCCTTGCTGTTTTCCCGGAGGTCTCGTCCATGCTGGTGCGGTAGCTTGCCTCGCCATCCTTCTTCTCGAGATCCGCCTCTGCTAACCCCTCCTTAACCTGGTGAGTGAGAAGGGGTCAGTCTCGTCGTTACTTCCTAAGGTCTTTGCCCTAGGCAAACTCCTTACTAAACACATTATTAGGGGAATGCCTTCCTTAGACGAAAGTCGTTCTCACTTTCATCCTTTAAACTTTACTATCAAACAGTCTATAAGAGATCTCTACTCTTGTCTTATCTTTAGAATTCCCTTACTTATGTTCTTAATTACTCCTTTCAACTTTAACTCATAGAGGTTCTCAACTTTTATCCTTAACTCAAACACAAAACACTAGGACCACCGTGTTACGTCTCGTCGTCCGGTGTCCTACCCTAGTATGCCAACCGCGTTACGTCTTGCCGTCCGGTTGCATACCCAAACTCGGCAATGGCACTGCGTTACGTCTCGCCGTCCAGTCCATGCCCGTCAACTACTGCGTTACGTCTCGCCGCCCAGTAGTGACCCCAATATACTCGATCAACTGATGCGTTACGTCTCGCCGTCCAACAGTGATCCGACCATCTACCGCGTCCAGTAGTGGCCCAACCGCCCGGGGGTTCCTCATACCATCAACCAAAC